AGCGTGAGCCTGGAGTCTGCAATCCAATCGGACTGTTTCCACAAGAATGCCGAGCCTACAGGACTCTGAGTGGCCCATGGCAGACCCCAAAACTCCAAGATCAGACGTCGACGGCGAGGCGAGGCGAGGCGAGGCGAGCGCCGATGCCGCTCCGCGCGCGCGCCCGGAGCGCCTCTTAAAGAGGTCGGCGGCGGGAGCTTAGCCCCTCAGACTGCATCAGCCCATCGTTCTAAAGGCCCGTGTGGATGCCGCGTTGCGGGTTGGCCAACTTGTGTGTTCCGACGATGCGCTGTGTAACTCCGTCGATCCGGGCTGCCATTCAAGAGCCTCACACGTCGACGGCCCCTTACAGACTGGGTCACGCCAGAAGCCCAGGATCTCTCCGCAACTGCGCTGCGGCAGGTCCCTGCCGCGACGGCGGACCTCCCTTCTGGCGCCGCGCGATGAGTTCACTCTTGAACGCGATCTGCTCCAGACGAGCGCGCTCAATTACCTGCAGAGCAACTACTCGCAAATGGCCCGGATCCGCCGCGGAAGATCAAAGCAAGCACGTGCTTTTCGGACGTCTTTGCCAGTAGGCACTCTGCGAATACTGCAGGTTCGTGCGGCGTCGGCGCGCGCAAAGGTTCTTCACACCGCGTCGATCGTTCCACATTGAACCGATCGCGGCCCCGATCGCTCAAGGTCAGATTCCGTCGGGTTCTGTGACGTTACCGCGTCCCTCAATGCTTCCGCGTCGTTCTGTCACGCGGAGTCCAACCTCGAACGCCTTCGCCGGCGTCGCCAGCGCGCCACCGCCGCATGAACCTGCAGTAGTGGAAAGCGCTTCGTGCTGCTCTCGTCGGGGATCTACTGACCAGGGTCAATGCAAGCCCGGGTCAGTCAGGCTTCGCAGGATCCTGCATGCTCTTGCACGCCAGCCCGGGTGACTGTAGCCCTGGCCCTGCGGGATTCTGCAAGATCCAGCGCTCTGGCTGGCCTCCGTGTGCATGGACCCCGTCCCTTCAGCCCCGAACCTCGGAGGCCCCCAGGGCTGCGGGGCCCAACCTCAGGAGGGGAAAAAACACACAGACACGATTAGTCCTCGATTCCCAGGAGGAAAATATGGGAAAAGATGGGAAGTGGGGGGGGGAAGACAGAAACCCCGGAAATGTGGGAAAAGGTGGGCCATATTTTTATTTGTGTGTAGTCATTTGTGTGTCCTGGGGTGGGGCCCCTTCACAACCTCGCGCACGGCCTCCGCGCCGCGGCCCGCTCTCGGCAGGGCCCCCGGGGGCCCGCGGCAGGCACCACCGAGGCAGCAGCGCGCCCGAGGGCGTCGCGGGCCGCCCCCCGCGGACGCCGCCGCCGCGCCGAGGCCGAGGCGGCGCCACCCTGCCGCGCGCGAGCCCCCTCGATCCTCGTGCCTCCTCGAGCCTCCTCGATCCTCGAGCCTCCTCGATCCTCGTGCCTCGATCACCGAACCTCCTCGAGCCTCCTCGAACCTCCTCGATCCTCAAGCCTCCTCGAGCCTCCTCGATCACCGACCACGGAGCCTCCTCGAGAGCCTCCGGCCCCCGCCTCCTCGGACGCCGGCGGCGAAGCGAAGCGCCCCTCTGCGTCTCGGCGGAGAGAGAAACTCGGGGGTCCCAGAACGGTGCGGCCCTCGAAATCCCCAACGGCCTCACCGCACGCTCCGTCCCCCCACGGCTCTGGGACCCCCGGGGGCCCCAGCCGCCCGAGAATTCCTGGGCGAACGGCCCAGGTCCCAAAAGTGCGGTGAACGCGGAGCCCCACCGGTTCGCCACACGGTGTGGCCGCCGCACCGCCCCCGGGCCCCGGAGACAGCGGCTCAGCACCCTCCGCGGGGCCGCCGGCGCGGTGCCTTGCGCGGCCGGCTCCGCGACCGTGCCATCGGCCGCGCGGGGCGGCCCGAGGGGCCGCCGCCCAGCGGGTGGGCGGCCGCAGGGTCTGGTCAAGCGGGCTGCGGGGTGGGGGGGCGGCCGAGGCGGGCGAGCGCGCGGTGTCGCCGGGGGCGGGGCCCTTCAGGGCCTGCGCAGGGGGGGGGGGCCAGAGCCCTCAGTGCATGCCGACCGTGTGTCGCCGACGAGACATGCTTGTCCGTATCGCATGCCTGTGACAGCGCCCACTCCCAGCCAGCGTCGTCACACACAGTCCGACTGGAACTCGACGGGGCGAACGCGCGAGGAGTGGCTGAGCGGACGACAGCCAGTGCAGAATGAATGTTTGCGCCGTCGGGGACGCTTATCCCGGAGCGGCTGGAATGTCGGTACCCCTGCGGTGGTATGTCGGGGTATCAAACAACGCCGCCCTGGGGCACGGGTCCCCGATGGCGGAAAACTGTATGATCTTAGTGTGTGTATACATACATACATACATACGTACATACATACATACATACATACATACATACATACATACATACATACATGCATACATACATACATACATACATACATACATACATACATACATACATACATACATACATACATACATACATACATACATACATACATACATACATATACATAGGTACGTACGTACGTACGTACGTACGTACATACAGATAGACAGACAGACAGACAGACAGACAGAAAGACAGACAGACAGACAGACAGACAGACAGACATAAATGTAGATAGATTCTTCTCCTTTACTTCTATCTATAATCTGGGACCCTGCGAACCCCCCACTAATTAACTGGACCCCTCGGGATCCTTGGCCCCGGAGGTACCCTGGACGCCCTTCTTTCCCGGGCTCCTGAAGCCCCTGCTGGACGTAGGCAACGGGCCCAAATCGGTCAGGAGAGCGGCCGGACGGCCCCGCGAGAGTCCACAGAGGCCCCAAACATCCACCAGACGACCGTCGACAACCAAAAGAAACCTCCGAGAGAGATGCCAAAAAACATGGTTTCCCGATGGTGTCTGCATGACTGTGGGAAAGATCAGTTCTTCGGTCTTGCGTCCGAGACCGCCCAAGAGGCCAGAGAATCGCCCAAAACTTGACCAAGAGAGCTTCCACGCAGTCCAGGAGGAGCCCCAAGACGGCCCAAGAGGGCCCAAGATGGCCCGAAGAGAGCCCCATGACGGCCCAAGATGGTCCCGAGACGTTTCCCGAATCATTCCGAATCGTGCTCTGGTCGTTCAAGGAAACCGCGGTTGAAAACAGGGTGGCCTGGGGAAGCCCTCACAAGGAACCGGGGAGGCTTCCAAGGCCCCACCTAACAAGCCCTTAACAACCTTCTTTGGGCTTACAAGAAGCTCTCCTAGGATAAGCCTCCGCAAAGACAAACTGACCATGGGAGCAAATTCGAAGGGCAGGGCGAGAATGAGGAAGAGGAAGAGGAAACGTAAGGAAGAAAAACGAATAACATTATTACGATGACGATGCCAGAGAAGGCAACAACCAGTTATCTCCAAAGGTTCTGGTTTACCCTATTGCCATCCTGCCTGTATGCCGAACCGCAAGGATCGAAGTGCATGGCGCGAAGCGCCAATGTAGTCTTGTAGATGTATATGAGTTATACGTACATACATGCATGCATAAATACATGCATACATTCATATATACATATATATATATGTGTATGCATGTATTTGTGTATATATATATATATATACAAAACTCATGCGTGTATACATACTTGCATACATACCTGCATACATAAATGCATACATGCATACATATATACATGCATACATACATACATACAAACAAACAAACATACATACATACATACATGCATATATACATGCATATGCATAAATGCATACATGCATGCATGCATGTATGCATGCATGCATGCACACATGCGTACATATACATACATATATATATAGTATGCTGCAGATACATCCTGTTCATCTACATATACATACATGTGTACATATGAATATGCACATACGTAAGCATGTTCATATACATGCACAAATACTTATATGCATAAACATATACATATATGTGCGATGGTAAATCACATTCTCACACACACACACGTATATACAAATACGTATACATATATATACATGTAACCGTATACGTATGCATACACATAAACATATACATATGCATATAACAACACATACGAAATTACAGTTTCTGTATGTTCATACATTGTTGAAGGCGGTTACTCCACGTCTTATGATAGCCATACAGCAGCTACAGGCCTGAAACGTTCACTGGCATACGCGACATAACATACGACAGGTAAAAAAAACCTGGCGAAGGACCCAACCATAAGCAATTGTTCGTAACGCGTTGTGGGTGTCATCGAAAGCGCCACGAAACGCTGCCCTGGGTGGGGGAACCGCATGCGAGAGCAGCCACTGGGGCGGGCCTTCGGTGGAGCTCCCTATGGGGCCACGATACACTGCCCTGGGCGGGGGAACCGCATGCGAACTGCGCCACTGGGGCCTTCGGTGGAGCTCCCTATGGGGCCACGAAACGCTGCCCTGGGTGGGGGAACCGCTTGCGAACTGCGCCGAGGGATTCGGTGGAGCTCCCTATGGGGCCACGAAGCGCTGCCCTGGGTGGGGGAACCGCATGCGAGAGCAGCCACTGGGGCATTCGATGGAGCTCCCTATGGGGCCACGAAGCGCTGCCCTGGGTAGGGGAACCGCATGCGAGAGCAGCCATTGGGGCATTCGGTGGATATGGGGCCACGAAACGCTGCCCTGGGTGGGGGAACCGCATGCGAGAGCAGCCACTGGAACCTTCCGTGGAGCTCCCATATAGGGCCACGAAACGCTGCCCTGGGTGGGGGCACCGCATGCGAGAGCAGCCACGGGGGCCTTCGATGGAGCTCCCTATGGGGCCACGAAGCGCTGCCCTGGGTGGGAGAACCGCATGCGAGAGCAGCCAATGGAGCCTTCGGTGGAGCTCCCAATGGGGCCACGAAACGCTGCCCTGGGTAGGGGAACCGCATGCGAGAGCAGCCACTGGAGCCTTCGGTGGAGCACCCGACGGGGCCACGAAACGCTGCCCTGGGTGGGGAAACCGCGTGCGAGAGCAGCCAGTGGGGCATTCGGTGGAGCTCCCTATAGGGCCACGAAGCGCTGCCCTGGGTGGGGGAACCGCATGCGAGAGCAGCCACTGCGGCCTTCGGTGGAGCCCCCTATGGGGCCACGAAACGCTGCCCTGGGCGGGGGAACCGCATGCGAGAGCAGCCACTGGGGCCTTCGGTGGAGCTCCCTGTAGGCCCACGAAACGCTGCCCTGGGTGGGGGAACCGCATGCGAGAACAGCCACTGGGGCCTTCGGTGGAGCTCCCTATGGGGCCACGAAACGTTGCCCTGGGTGGGGGAACCGCGTGCGAGAGCAGCCAGTGGGGCCTTCGGTGGAGCTCTCTATGGGGCAACGAAACGCTGCCCTGGGTGGGGGAACCGCATGCGAGAGCAGCCACTGGGGCCTTCGGTGGAGCTCCCTATGGGGCCACGAAACGCTGCCCTGGGCGGGGGAACCGCGTGCGAGAGCAGCCACTGGGGCCTTCGGTGGAGCTCCCTATGGGACCACGAAACGCTGCCCTGGGTGGGGGAACCGCATGCGAGAGCAGCCACTGGGGCCTTCAATGGAGCTCCCTATGGGGCCACGGAACGCTGCCCTGGGCGGGGGAACCGCATGCGAGAGCAGCCACTGGGGCATTCGGTGGAGCTCCCTATGGGGCCACGAAACGCTGTGTTGGGTGGGGGAACCGCATGCGAGAGCAGCCACTGGGGCATTCGGTGGAGCTCCCTATGGGGCCACGAAACGTTGCCCTGGGTGGGGGAACCGCATGCGAGAGCAGCCACCGGGGCTTTCGGTGGAGCTCCTTCTGGGGCCACGAAACGCTGGGGAACCGCATGCGACGGCAACCACTGGGGCCTTCGGTGGAGCTCCCCATGGGGCTACGAAGCGCGCGAGAGGCGCGCCGAGAGCAGAGGCAAGGGGGGGAGGAGGGAAGAGGGGGAGGACGAGGGGGAGGAGGAGGAAGGAAGGAGGCGGGGCGCGGGGCGCTGTCTCTTCAAACGAGGACCCAACACCACAGCATGATTGGGAAATACTGGCTCTCAAAAAGAATTCTGAAATCTCTCACAATCTTCAAAAAAAAAAACCCGGCAAAGCAACCTAACAGCGATGTGTAGAAGCATATCTGAAAGCATTCCCCTTAAGATTCAGACGAAAATCCAGTTGTCGAATTCTGCTGTTCTCGCAGTCGTAGTCGCATTCGCAATGACAGTCGCAGCGGCAACGGCAGTCGCAGTCACAGCCTCAGCCTCAGCCTGCCTCAGCCTCAGCCTCAGCCTGCCTCAGCCTCAGCCTGCCTCAGCCTCAGCCTCAGCCTGCTTCAGCCTCAGCCTCAGTCTGCCTTCAGCCTCGGCCTCAGCCTCAGCCTGCCTCAGCCTCAGCCTGCATCAGCCTCAGCCTCAGCCTCAGCCTGCCTCAGCATCAGCCTGCTTCAGCCTCAGCCTCAGCCTGCCTCAGCCTCAGCCTCAGTCTGCTTCAGCCTCAGCCTCAGTCTGCCTTCAGCCTCGGCCTCAGCCTCAGCCTGCCTCAGCCTCAGCCTGCCTCGGCCGCAGCATCAGCCTGCCTCAGCATTCAAAATGTGGCCCAGGAATGGAGTTCTGGGAACTAGAAGAACACGAAGTGGCCTACAGTTGGCTCCGGGCATTCAAAATCATGCCCAGGAATGGAGTTCTGGGAACTTGAAGAGCACGAAGTGGCCTACAGTTGGCTCCGGGCATCCAAAATGTGGCCCGGGAATGGAGTTCTGGGAAATCGAAGTGCACGAAGTGGCCTACAGTTGGCTCCGGGCATCCAAAATGTGGCCCGGGAATGGAGTTCTGGGAAGTCGAAGAGCACGAAGTGGCCTACAGTTGGCTCCGGGCATCCAAAATGTGGCCCGGGAATGGAGTTCTGGGAGCACCAAGAGCGATTTTGCGAGGATGTCCCAAGCGATTTCGGCTTCGGCGGCAGCCTGTCCGGGTC